TTCATTATGAGCCTCTTTGAACTTACACCAGTTATAGGAGTGGAGAAATAGATTTCACCCAAGAACATTTTTAATGTTATGTCAGAGCCCAATTGATCTGATGGACTTTTAATGACTTCACTGATAATAAGGGAGATCATGACTTAGACCTGCTTCAGCCAGTGTGGAAAGGTTGATGGCAATTTGCATGGTCTGATGAGATCTGAAGTGGAAGGAAATGGACTTCTGAGTTCAAAGAGATTGCACCCTACAGAGGTGCCATCATCCGCGGGCTGTTGGGTGTGTTGACCATTGGGCACACATGCTATTAATCCTGCATATCTCCAGTCATCTGAACACGTCTGCAAAAGTTGTAACCCATCAGGAAAGCAGTCAAGCAGGGGGCTGGACTCACACTCGGATGCTAGAAGACCTGAAGAACCGTGAATATTAGAAGGGTGGGGAAAGAGAGGAGGAAAGTTCCCCCACTGTTACAGAGCACTTAGGCTGCTAAGAGCTCTCCATGCCATCCTCAGAAAGTACTTTCCACTTGCATATTAAGCAAATAGGAGGTTTAGCAGGACGTTATCACCTGGAGTGCCCAGTAATGAGTAACTGAGTAGGGGAAGGGGCTGGGCATTTCTGATTAATATTTACCAAAGTCTTTGTGTGTTTTTTCTCAAATGTTAACAATGCGGCAGACCGAGTTGAACAAAAAGGACACTGTGGATTGAAGTATGGTATTGTGCCCATCCGATGCTGCCTCCTCTCTGCTTGGCTTATGATAAATACCATTCTTTAATAGCAGACTGGTGTTCGTGAAGAACTTATTACGGAGGCTAAGAGGAAGCCAAGAATGAAGGAATGCCCGACTGGCAGCGATCAATCACTTCCTTTTAAAGATGAACCGGTCCTTCTTTTTTAAAGTAACAGTTCATACAAAGGTCTCAGACATAAATATGCAAAGCATCAGAGCAATTGCGGTTGCCTGGTCTTGTTAGCGTTTCTCTGCATGTTTGGGGAGAAGATGAATCCCACCCTTGCCAGCAGAGGTTCCTTCGAGGAGAATGAAGCCAGGCTCTTCTCCAGGGAAGGGTTCCCATTCAACAAAGGTTAATTATTGGCATCAGCAGAATAATAATATCCTAACGCAAAAGGACAAAGTCACATTTAGTTAAAGATTTCTACATTTGAAGATACAATATTCAAAGTAGAGTCGCTCCAGGAGGAGCTAGTTCATGAAGTGGCGTCTGAGGCCTAAGCAATGACAGGAGGTACTCTTCAGGGCCTGGACTTGCCTGCAGACCCAAAGCCTGTTTCTGTAGCCTCACAAAACTTGCAATGCCTTTTTCATTCCATCTCTGGCCTTGTCATTCCTTGCTCAAAAACCTTTAAAGCAAAGTTTCTCCACCTTGACACTATTGACACTTGGGGCTGGATCATTCTTTGTTTAGGAGGCTGTCCTGTGCATTTGTAGCATGTTTACCAGCATCCCTGACCCACTAAATGCCAGTAGCACCCCACCTCCCCACATTTTGACAACCAAAAATGTCTCCAGATATTGCCAAATGTCCCCTGAAGGGCAAAATGTGCCCCCTGTTGAGAACCATGGCTTTAAGGATAACTTGATGCCCATAGAAAAGTTCAGTCACCCCCAAATGCCCAAGGGTCTTGACCTAATCTTTGGCCAACCATTTACCATCCACTGACACGAATGCTATATTGCTCCTCGCGCACTTTCTAAAATGTCCCAGGAGCAGATGTCTCCCTGTGTCTTCCTTATTACTTTTCCCTTGTAGGCCCTGTTCCCTGAGATGTCCCCAGTGCCTACTATAGAAGCTGGACTATTGACACTCACGTGACTTGACCCTTTTCTCACTGGTCTCCATCTGCCCACATCCACTTCCTTCAAGACCTAGTCCCAGTGTACTCATTTTCAGAAGCATTCAAGTGTATCATCATGGTTGAGAACATGAATTTGGGAGCTCTACTGGGTTCACTTCCTTGTCCTCCGCATGCTAGCTGTATGACCTTGGGCAAGTTACTTTGACCTCTTTGTGCCTCGGTTTCCTCATCTGTAAAATGGCTATCATAGGGGACACTGCTTCAGAGGTTATTGTGAAGATTCATCTAATCCTTACGTATAATATCACCTGTGTCAGCTGTTAGTGGTATCTCGTGATCGGAAGGTCTCTTCTCTGCAGACTTAGTTTGTACATCTGTCTCAGTTTCCATTGTAGCATAATTTGATTGACTGTATTTTCTAAACCAAAATCAGGACCTGTCATCTAACAGGTCTGGGACAATGAGCCAGAGTTCTGAAATGTGAGCAGCCTGAAAAGCCAGGGCAAATAGTTGTCATAGTTACAGTTCATGCATATGTGTGTGTGTGTGCATGTGTGTCTGTGTCTGCTTGCACATGTGTGGGACACCCACATCTTCCTAAGAGATTGTGGATGGGGGACGACAGCCTCTTCATCTCTGATATGTAGGGAGCCCCTATCTTATATTTGTTGATTTGGATTCTTCTAATTTCATGAGACGAAAGTCTTACTCAGAAACTCCTCTCTCCTTCTGACCCCAAGTCGCTTATGTCCTTCACTTAAGGAAAGCGTGGCTTTCACAAATGCCGATTTCTCAAAGCTGGGCCCTTCACCTCCTACCAGTACAGCTGAGGATAAAATTCCTTGTTCTTCAGGACTTGTGGAAGACTGTTTTTAGAAAGATAATTTAAGGCCCACCTGGGGAGCTTGATTAAAATGTAGATTTCTAGACCTTGGCTCAGACCTACTCAATCAGAAATTCTGGTGGTGGGACCTGAAAGTCTGAATTTTTAAAAGCATCCCACCTCATGTTTACACTCACTCATTTTGAGTACCACGATGTTAGAACAAACCAGCAACAAGTATGAAGGCTCCTGGGTATTTTACAGAGCCTTAGAGTGGCTGAGTTTGAAAATGCTGCCGTTTTTATGAGGAGAGTAAGAGAATTATTTTTCTCCATGCTTTCTGTCATGTTCTGGATAATGTAAATTATGCACGTGGAGGGACTGTCTTTTTTAAATGAAAGGGTTGTATTCTTATCCCACATCCCACAACTCCTAAAAACAAGTCACTCTGAGGGGGAGGACTAGGTGTTTACAATCCCAGCTGGAAGAGGGCATGTGTTATTGGCAAAGCAAAGGGCAGCCCAGATGGTCCACAAGTTCTGAGAATAATCTCTGAGCATCAAGAGTGGAGACGATGACTTCAGAGCATCCCTCTCGGGAAGGCTCTGTTACCAGGTGCACCAAAAAGGATTCCATATGGCTCCAATATTCTGGTGGGGTTGGATGCATATTTGATCGTAACCCAAAGATATGAGACAATCCATCCTTGGTTTATTTCTAGATGATTAATTTCTCCTCAATATCCAAGACCTGTCTTATGATTAATTTTTCTCCCACAACCAAGACTCTGTCGTATTCTCAAGAGTAACAGAGCCCCATATCCAACGTGATTTATTTAAGAAACAAAAGCAAAGAGACTGTTAAGTCTCTTCCTTCTACTTCCTTCTTTGCCAATAATTTCATACCATTGAGTTCTTTCTCTTTCTTTCCTGTGGTTTCTGAGAAAATACAACCCTCCCTTTTGACACCCTCGCCCAAAGGACTCATGACACTTATTTGGATTTTTGTGTTCTCTCTTTCTAACTGAAGGTGCTTCAAATGGGCCTCTGAATTCTCACCCTCTCTTTTCCCAACGTCTCCCCTCTCCTTTCAAGCATTCTGAAATCTCTCTTTTTAATAAATAAATAGATAAATAACCTAAAAATATAAATGCACTTCCATGCCTCAGTTTCTTCATCTTAAACTGAGTATAAATACAGTACCTAACTCTTAGGGTTTTGTGAGGATTAAATGAGTTAGAGGTAAAGCTCTTAAGAGATTGTTGGCTCACAGGATGTGCTCACCTACTGTCCACTAATAATTTCATGGGGGCCTTTGTCTGTCTCCATTACATGTCATCTGTCTGTCTGTATGTGCGCTTCCTGTTCGAGCACCCCCACCTCTCTCCCATCCTTCACCACCAGCCTCTTTGAAAGAGTCCTCATTGAAGCCCTGCAATTCCTCACCTCCCATTCACTCCCCATCTCTTTCAGTTGACCTTTCGCCAAAGCCAGCTGCTCCCTGGTGATTTTGTAATGGCCTTATCTGTCCAGTGACCTCTCTTCTGTGCTCATCCCACCTGAACACACTACAATGTTGTACCTAACCTTTTGATTCTTCCTTTCTTTTATTTTGAAGTTTACAATGGAGTTTTTTGGGTGTCTCCCCCTTTAAAAGAATTGTTCTTTAGTTGTTGATGAAGTTGTTGCTGCTGTCATTTTTCTGATTATGATAGAAACAGAAGCTCAGAGTCCTGGTCTACATTGTGACACTCAGTGTCATGCTCCTTCCCCTCCTCTGTGACTGTGCTTTCCCTCTGCTCTTGTTCAGATGACCCCGTAAACGTCATGGCTCCCTAGGACTCTGTCTGTCCTGGGTTCTCATCTCATCTGATCTCTTTAGACCCAGAGATCTCAAAACTACAGCCTGCAAGCAGGACCTGGCCCACCGAAATGTTCTGTTATCGCCTCTCTATATTAAAAAAAATTGGTTTCCACATTTCAGTTTTTTCATCAAAAGAATCCCTATTTTTGGCTGCTTTTGGAAAGTCAGAGTGATCTCACCACACCAGACCTATGTGTCCATGTGAGCATGGCCAGCCAGAGCTGAGGGTATTGCTCCCTCAGTCAGGGTGACCCCAAGTTCATGCTCACCTCCAGCCGCCTTCACTGATTCTGCTGCCTGCCTGGCCCCTGCAGGCAGTTGAGGTTACCTCTCCTGTAGTGCTGTCCCTAGGTAAGTTATGACCCCGTGAAACAAAGACAGCCAAGTTGATATTTCCCACTCTACCCTGGTCCTCATGCCCACAGCCAAATTTCCACACATGTTCCAGTAAATTCCCCACTTGCTCTCGTCCTAGCTTGTTCTCACTCACCACAGTTTTGCTGTTCTCTGTATCTTGCAGCATGACCTTCAGAACTTAATGTTCCATCTGAGAGGGTGTTTGGGTCCAGAAATCTAAGAAGAAAAAAACCGTGTTATGCATCAATCAATACTTGGTGGCATGCTAGTTGAGAATCATTGCTCTATAAGAAGGATCTAGTTACATAATAAAAATATAAAAACGGATGTTATAAGCAAGGAAGGCAGGTCGATATCTGTTCGAGCAGTTGGGGCATGAGCTAAAGGGTCCTGGAAACACGGTGGTGAGGTGTGGAAACTGACACCATAGTGATTCCAAAAGATACTGCAGAGGAAAGTTTGGGGACAGATAAAACTAAAATAAACATTTAAAAAGCAGATGCAAAACCTCAAATAAAGCTACAGAAAGAGCTTGAGGGTTGGTGGTGCCACTGATCCAGAGATGGAGAGAGACTTGGGGAAATACTGGTTCTGGAACACGACGCTGAGTACCATTTTTGGCATATTGAGTCAGACGCAGGCAGACATCTAAGCAGATTCTGTACCGTTGAAGGTAAGAGATGACGGGGAGGGTAGACGAGTGGATCTGAGTTACAGTTTCAGAAGCCACCCACATACTTGTGGTTTTCAAAAATCTTGCTATAAAGAGAAATACAAATAAAGGAAAGAGGAAAGAAAAAGGGGAACCCATGCAGGAGACAAAGAAAGAGTCAGGAGAGAAGTATGAGGTCAAGCAGAGAAGTTAAGAAATCAAGATGATGGTTTGACGTAAAAGGGAATTGTCTAGCAGGGTCTGCTGAGCAAGGAAGACTATATCTACATAATATATCTACAGAATGCTATTGGATTTGGCCAGGGGACGGTCATTCATTCCTTCAGTAAATATTTACTAAGCGTCTATTATTTTCCAGAAAGTATGCTGGGAAGAACCATTCAACATGGAGATCAAATCAATCAGTAGAGCCTAGGTTTTGCAACAACAACTCCCAAATCTCTTTAAAATAACACAGGTTAATTTCATCCTCATGCCAGGGGCTCTGATCTCCGCCATTCTCCTTCCGGGTCCAGACAGATAAAGCAGCCACCCTTTGGAACACGGTGATACCGTGACAAAGAGAAAGAAAACGTGCACGAGCTATTAAAGCTTCTGCTGGGACTTGAGAGCAAGTCAAGTGGCCACATGTAACTTCCAGGGGGCAATGAAGTGTATTTCTAGCATGTGTCTGCAGGGAAGCAAACTGCAACTTCTGTGCATGGCTCCGGTGTCTACCCCAGAGAGGATTTAAAGGAGAAGTAGACAAAATTCACAGCCCTAAATATTTCCACTTTATTTCCTTAAACCAAAGCCAACTACACAATTTGTGGTGTCCGGTGTAAAGTGAAAACGCAGGTCCCAGGCTAGGGGAAAGGAAGTCAGTCTCCCATCCCTCAGGCTTACCACCCAGCCTATGGTGGATGGGCGACCCTCAAAGGATTGTAATCTCTGCACCAGATGAACTTGTTACCTGGATCAGGGGCAGGTGAGAGGCCTCCGCCAACCTCTTGGCACTGCCAACTCAGGAACGAATGGCACTACCTTGCCCTACCCCAAGATACCGCAGGGCATGGTATCCACCCTGTACCCACCCCACCCATAGCCAGGCTCCCCCTTGGAGCTGAGAGCAATGGCAGAAGGTGGGCCCTCCCCAACCCCACTGACATGACCCAGTCACCACCCCAGGGAGAATGGCAGCAGTAACAGGGCTGAGACTGGAAGGAGGAAGCCGGTGGGACCCAGCCACCGGAGGGCAGCCATTGAGCAGCTGGAAACTCTTCCCAGGGGTGTGGGAGGGGGTAGAACCCAGCATGAGCCGAGGCTCCCAGCCCCTAGCACATGCTCCATGTCCCACTGGACTTCACTTACAAATTCAAAGACGCAATTATTAAGAATTTCCTCCTGGCAGTGACCAGAGAGCCCTTTCAGCGAATGGGGCCCTGTGCCACCGCCCTGCCCTAAACCCCTTGCCATGCCTTGGTTTTTACCTGAAGAACGTTTCTCCCTTCTACCTGCCACCTTCATTTGCCTTTTCTACTTTTTCTTCTCTACATTCTAGTTGCCCTTAAAATCATATTCAGATTACAGATTGTCCAAATAGGAAATTCATTTTTGATATACTATCAATGCCCACCTACTGAGGTTACATGAATGGACTTGAAAATAACCTACACTTTTTTATTAGTCTTCTTCCAAGATATGGGACTCTCTGTAACCCTCACATTTGGGCCTGGGACAGGGCCAGGGCAAGGGGGTGAGATGCACAAGTCAACTTTGCAGCTTCCATTGTTTGCAGGTTTGAGATGTATGCAAAGTCTCAGAACATCAGCTGTGGCCTGCAGTGAGATTGCATGTTTGATAAGCTCTCAGCTGCCCCCGGCCAGCCAGGCAGCTGCAGAAGTCAGTGTCAGGGAAACAGAAATAGGTGGTCTTAGTGTTCTCACCGGTATTACATCTGTCTGTAGAGAATATAGCTTACAACAGATTAACGGACTCGACACAGACTGAGACCGTGGTAAGAGTGATGCTTGCTGACGTTATCAGCAGCTCCTGGAGGGGAATTTTCTTCCTTTTTTTTCTTTTCTTTCTTTCCGGAATTTGTTTATTCGTTCCCCTCTATACTTGGCTATCGTTTATCCCATTGCTGTTTATCTCCCTGAAATAGTTTTGCGTATCTAACCATATTAAATCCACTTATTTATTGTTCGTTTATCTCTGTTTGGTGTAGCAAATGTTTATTTATAAGCCACTCATGTATCTAAAATTTACCTGCTTGTTGACTGCCTATTCTATTTGCTGGCATGTGTCCGACTGGGCTGTGCATATATTTGCTACACTCAGATAACAGAGGTCTCTTGGTAAATATAACTATTTAGAAGTCTGAAAGAGAGGTTCAGAATATCTAAGAGGCAAATAAAACATTCCTGTGCACCCAGAATGTGCCCTAATACCCAAACAAAATGTGCCCTAGAGTTGACTTTGAGTGTATATTTGAACAATGACAAAATCTGGCAGTCCCTAAGAGTAGGTTAATCCCCTCTTCTAAACCCTCTCAAAAACCTACTCCTCCTTTTATGACAAACTGACTAGTATCTGTGTTTGTATAAGGCTGCTTCCCCTAACAGTACCTGCACTCTGTCAACTGATCCAGGAACATACACATTATCTGGTTCTCACTGAGCATCGGCTCTTCAACACCTAACACAACAAGAGGTCCATCAACATTTCTTGAGTGGATGATGGATGTGTGGCCCCATTTGGACCAGCCTAGTCTTACTTTTCTAACCTCATACATTTATGCTTGGGATTATTCCCATTTACCTATGTGTGGTCTCAGGACAGGTATATGCAGAGCATCCAATGAGAGGACAATCTCAGGTGAGGCTTTGGAGCCACACACACCTGTGTTCATACCTGACCGTGAGCCTTATTAGCTATTGAATCTGGGATATGTCACGTAACCTCTAAACTCCAGGCCTCACCGATAAAGTGGAAACAATACTAATACCTCCCTCACAGGTATGTTGTGAACATGCAATGAGATGACCCACGCAACTATTGAGTAGACAGCAAGCATTCAATAAACAGTAGCTGCCACTGCTGTTCCCATGGCTACCTGGTCAAATTATATTTGTTGGACTCCTCTGTCAGCATCTTAGAAAATTAGGTTGCGAAATGGACACCTCAGTGAACCCTTCTTGGCGTGCTGACTCTATAAACACTTTTTCCCATTCTAGCTCTTCCCCAAATTGCTGCTCGTGTCCAGACAGAGACAGCCTCTGGAACTGACGCAAACCCCACTTCCGCTAAATTCTCCCCGAGTGGAGGTGGTAAAAGAGAGGTGATTATTCGGGCCTTCTGCTTAAATTATTTTATGCCTGGGGTATGCATGTGTTTGCCTGCAGTGAATTCAGAAGCAAGCGTGAGCCATGCACCGTTCCCTAAGTAAGAGTCATCGATGTTTTAAAATTGTGCCCAGCAATTCTGAGTCTGGATCTGAGAGGCGGGAAGGGGCCTGAGTTAGGTCTCGCACATGGAGGTGTCTTCCTTGCACGTGGGAAATATTCATTCTCAGGGGGTTTGTGCCAGGATGACGCAGCCACACAGGAGCCAAATCTTACGCATTTTCATGTCCCCCTTACCAGGTTAGGCTTCCTCAATCATTCATTCATTTATTCATTCAACAAATACTTACAGAAGCCCTGCTCTGTGTCAAGCACTGTTCTACATTTGAGGATAAAAGAAAGGTTTTTGCCCTTGTGGATCTTACTTCTAGAACAAAGCGAGGCCATAAATATATGCTCCAATTTTGCGTCCTGTTTGGTGCCATGAAAGAAAAAAATAATGCAAGGCAAAGAAATAGCAAGTGATGGGGAGTGGCAAGGGCATGCAAGTGTTTGAACTGTCATCAGAGCAGAGTGAAGTGAAGGAATGAGTCACGTGAGACAGAGGGAAGCTGCAAGAGCAGAGGCTACTGGTGGGGTGGGAGGGGTGTGAGTGAGGGGGACAGCGCGGGAGACCAGTTCTGAGTGGGAGACAGGGGCTGGGTCAGGCAGACCTTAGGGATCAAGGTAAAGAGTTATGGGTTCATAAGAAATGAAAGAACAAGAAAGGAACAAATGGCTGTATGTGGGAGTACATGAGGGACTCAGTCCAGCTGTGGGGAAACCGCTGGGTTGCTGTTGTTATAGTCAGGGGAACACCGCGCTGCTTTGAGGCAGCCGGGGCAGGATCAGCCTGTGAGCATTCTCCCCTTTGCTTATGCCAGCTTACCGTGCAACCTTTCTGAGCCTCAGTTTCCCCATCTGTGAGATGGAGGTGATGATACCTACCTTTGATGGCTCTCATCAGAATTAGAGATTCTGTATGCATCAATAAATGACTGCTATTAGCAGATTATATTACATCATATCATGTTATTTTCAATTTTGCTTGCCAAAATGATAAAAGAGAACTGAGCATGTAGGGGAGGACGGGAGCTGCCCCCGTATTTGGCTGTGTGCTCACCTTGCCTTTATTGCGTAGGCAAACCATCCTTGCCAAATAAAAACCTGCCTTATAT